AAGCATTACAGCTTTCCTTCTTCTATAATAAAGAGTGCTTTGTTTATAACATGGAGTTGATTACTTCTGACTTGCTCTGATGAAGGCTTATATCTCATTATCTGTTTCCCCTCTCTTCAGGGGACAATGGCAAAAAAGCTATTTATTTTTCTGTGATAAGAACTCATTTTCTCTTACAGCAATGGCCCATAGAGACTTCTGGCAATACTTCTGTTTCATTTTATAGCATGATGTATACCACCTTAAAATGGAAATCAGTCAACGACTGACTCAGAAAAGTAGCTGCACAAAGATTGTATAAGCTCCCTAATTATGATAACTTGTTCCCTCTCTTTGCAGATCCCGAGTTGCCTACCTGCATTTACCTAGAGCTATAAAAGTGGCAATAATGAATGTGATGGAGCCCTAACTTTACTAAGCAGATGCTAATAATGATAAAGTTAGTTTAAGATGGTGTCAAGAAAGAAATAACAATTTAAAAATATTCCCGTCTCTCTATGTAGGCTCCACCTCTGCTGGAGCCTATTTCACAGCAGGAACAGAGGGCACTAAGGAACCTGCAGCCACTTGATAGGGCCAGGATTTTATGTGGACTTCTGTCCCACAGCTGGCTCAGCTGCAGCCTATTGTGGCAATGGTCAGTTTAGATAAAACTGATGAACCCTGGTAAATATTTTCCCATCCCTGCCCCGGTCTTACCCGGATCAGAGATCCTTTAGCGTTGGAAAGAAGGTTGTTTCAATGTGAAAGTCGAATTCTTTTCCTGCTCTCTTTTCTTCTGAGTTTGGCTGCACTGCTTTCTCCCTCTTTTATCTCTCACAGTAACTGTGGACTTTTACTTTACCCCTCCAATGTCCTGGGGCTTCCCAGGTTTTCTTCAGAGACCTGATAGGAGACAAGGAAAAGAGGTAACCTCTGCAAAGAAATGGGCTAATATGAAACTGAAAGTATCAACTAAAGCAATGACTCATTCACCATGAAAAGAATTGTTGACAGCTGTGCTAGTAAGAGGGTTTGTCATGATTTCTCAACCAGGAATTTCCCATTTTATTATTGGGAAAGATCTTGGAGACTACTTGCAATATTAAGTTTTAAAAACCCCTTCATTGGGTCATTTAAAATAGTGCTATTTGTCTCATGTTTGTGGGCGAGTTTGAGAAGCATGTGGATGAGAAAGCCTCATATAATATTTTCTTCGGTCCAATTACCTTGAATATTAGCTTGAGCACTGTTAAGTGCCCTGAGGGAATATCCATGTCTTACATACTTTTGAATTATCAGCACCTAACCCAGGTCCTGACACTTAACATTTAATAAATAATAAATAATGATGAAGGTAACTCTCATTTATTGCACACTTGATACAGACACAGTGATAACTTCTTTATATAAATCAGACCATTTTATTCTTATTTTGTATTTGTTTATTTTTTAGAGACAAGTTCTTTCTGTGTTGTCCAAGCTGGAGTGCAAAGACATAATCATAGTTCACTCTAATCTCAAACTTCTGGGCTTAAGTTATCCTTTTGCCTCAGCCTTCTTGATAGGTGGGACTACCAATGAGACATCATACCAGCTTGTGTGTGTGTGTGTGCACGCGCGTGTGTCGGGGGGGTAGATATGAAGTCTCACTATGTTGTAAGGCTGATCTCCAACTCCTGGTCTCAAGTGATTGTCCTGCCTTGCTCTCCCAAAGTGCTAGGATTACAGGTTTGAACCACGGCACCCATTTCCCGTTGCATTCTACAATAATTTCACTACAATGTTACCAAGAAATTTAACAACTTGTTAATATTACAGAGCTACCAAGTAAGATTTGAACCCAAGTCTTCCTCTAAAACCCATACCATCAACCACTTCACTAAAATACCTCTGTGTTTGGTGAGTGAACAACAATAACGTTTCTTATTTATCAATTACTTTCTAGGCCAGATTACTTACACATATTATTTAAACAACACAATTCTGCTTCAAAATATGGGGTGTTTGTTATTCTCCTTGTCCAAGGAGGAAAAAGAGAAAGAGATTAAGTAATGTTTAACTAAAGCCATTGAGCAACTTCAAACTAGCAAGTCATTACGTGAGATTCTAACTTGAAAAATCAATTTAATTAATATCACATTATATCTCTGTTCCACGCTGTCTCTAAAAGAAAGAGAAAAAAAAATAAACAATGAGAGAAGAGAGTAGGATCGTGTGTGTGTGTGTGTGTGTGTGAATATTGGTGACATTGAAAGTGAAAGTAGAGCAGGGTTATTTCAAAATAGAAGTAATTCTAGGAAATCAGCTGCTTTTTCTCTTCTCAACAATAAAATCTATTGTTTATATCAGGCAAACAAAAAATAGCCCTAGGCAAAATTGAATCTTTGTGAATTATGTATAGTTTAAGGGTAAATGAAGATGAATACATGTTTATTAGCTAGAGGAGCCCTTTTTTTTCTAAGTTTCTGGCCCTTCCTTCACTATGCTGAACATTGTAATTGCCCTGTGAGCCAAAGGCAGTGACTTCATTCCGGGGTGATTATCGTAGGTGAGAAGCTTGAGGAAACAGGAACCATGTGCTGTCCAGTCCCTCAAAGAGGACAGAGTAAATTCAGACAAGTGTGCATGTTCTTTCTAATTCAGTGACTCCCTTCTGCACTAGTTTCTAAAATTGTGTCCTTTATTTTGAGAGCTCTAGAAATTGGGAATACAGTGAGGATATGGTAAATTGGGGCCATATTAGAGGGTAGCTTATGTACTTAGCTCACACCTGAGCTTATGTGGTGGGTTTTGTGCTTGGAAATAAAGATAAGTTGATGAAGAAGACCTAGCATCTGAGATCAAAGGTAGTAGACAAGGGTAAACAGGCATTTTCAATGTTACAATTATATAACATCTTCAATGGTAGGAGTGACAAGATGGTGCTATGGCAAAACCAAGAAGGGCATCTCATCCAGCCTTGGAAAGTTAGGAAGTAGGACACTTTAAGGATGAGCAGGTGCTGAGAAATAACAGATATAGGGTGAGGAAGCAGGGTTTTAAGAAATCTTTGCCCCTTTTGCAAAGACCCTCAGTCAAAAGAATATGCCCAGCTTATGGACTTATAAGGAGTTTGGGTTCATTCAAGTACTGAGAACTAGAAAGCCAAAACAAATTCCTAAAATGTTGAGCTGAAAAAAAAATTTCCTTCTACTTCATCGTCTTTATAAATGTGGGACAGCATTTAGAGACCATTCCAAGAAACATCCCAGGGGACTTTGTATCTGAAAATATACTTTGGAATAAACTTTGAAATCTTTATTGAAAAGTCATAATAAAAATGAAATTAGGATGCATGTCCTGTGCCCTTTTTAGTTCCTTGTTCTGATGAGCTGGCTTTTCCTGTTGAGCTGACTTATGCTATTTCTAGTGGTATTAATCACTTCTTCCTATCATGGGAACTCTCCCATCCAATCATTATTATTTTGTTTTTATTTTAATAATTGTTTTTATCCATGTTTGAATACATATCCTTAATACATTCATATAAAATATTAAAGGCACAGAAGATCACAAAGTATGCTTTCTTTGGTGGATTAGCATATAAAAAGTACTTTCGGCTCCCTGAGAGGCTGGATGGAGGTGGAGGCTATGTGCTCGCGGTGTTGGTAGAGGTGCTACAATAGAATGTAATTTACTATGGTGCTGAGGTTACCCTGGTTAATGCTTCCTGCATGAAGAGGACAAATGTATAGAAAGCCTCAAGAGAGAGGGACAAAACCATATTGCCAAAAGAGTGAAAGACTTCTGGAGTGCACAAATCAGAGGAATTTTTTCTCACTTCATGATGCCTTGGAAGAGGAAAGAACAAGAGATTTTCAGAAGAATTTGCAATCAGTGCTTGGCCTCCCAAAATCTTGAAAGAATTAGATCAAAGATCAAATCCATGCTGCGGCAGCAATTCTTTATAACTAAATGGAGCTCCCTATATGGAATGCAAGAAAAGAAGACTTTATAAGTAGTATAGAATCCTTTAATATATCATTTTTTTCAACTAAGTATATTATATTTGTGTTCATCTTGACAATCTTATCTTTGTTTCGCTTTTGATATGTCTGACAACCCAGTTTAAGAGTGATTATTCCAGTCCTTGATAATAGAGTCCATGTAGTGGATTTGGAGTTATGAAATACAAGTTGAGGTCATAACTTGACAACCTAACGGGTGATCTTGGGCAAATAGATTAATCTTCCTATCTTCCTTTTATTATCCATAAACCGAAGATAACATTTGTCCTTCAAGGTTATAGTAAGAACTAAATGAAATCTGTATTTGTTAACCTAAAGCACTCAACAAAGACAATAAATATAACATTAATGCAATCAATTTTTATAAAAAAAATAAAGGCACAGAAGAATATATGATGTGAAATGAGTTATCTTCTCATTTCTCACCTCAAACATTCAGGTTCATCCCTGCTGTGACCATGTATACTAGATTATTTTCTATTTTTCCAGAAGGAGATAATAATATATGCACACATTTATTATTTTCTAAATTCAGTGGTAGTAATTATACATGTTTCCTGCATCATTTTTTTTTTTTTTTACTTATGATACATCTTGGAGACTTCTCATATTAGTTCAAATAGAGCTTCTCTCTTCATTTTAGTAGCTGTAGAGTATCCCTTTACAAGTATTTCCCAAGATTTCCCTTATCAGTACCTGAAAGAGGGACTTTAATGTTTTTTTTTCAGTCCTTTGGCATTACAACAATGCCACAACATAAATACTATTACACATAAAATTTTCGACTTGAGTAAATCAATCTACATGATAGATTTCTAAATGTGGAAATGCTAGATCAAAAGTATGTGCACTTAAATATTTCATATATGATTCCAGCAGTTCACACTCTTATTAGCAAATATGAGACACTGACAATATCCTCAAACCCTTGCCAGCTCAGTGCCCTGTCAAACTGTTCTTTCATGCCCATGATAAATTGAAGCAAGAACCTCATAGTTTTTCTTTGCACGACTTTTATTGTCAGTAAAATTAAACATTTTTATCATATTTTTGCCTGTTTAAAATATGTGGTGTTACTCTCTTCTCACTGATTTACAAGAGCTAATTATAACTTAAATTATCTCTGTGACTATAACATTAATTGAAAATAATTTCTTCATCTTACCATTTGTCTTTTTGCTTTATTTAAATCTTTTCTAGGATAATTTTATCTTCTAACTTGTTCACCATTTCTATTAATTATTACTTCAGTCAAAATTAAGTTTGTTTTTATGAACTTCAGGCCATAATATTCTTTGAAATTTGCTTTTTAATTTTAAACTTTTCTTAAATGAAACTGCAATAACACATATACTTTTAAAATGAGCAACAGTGTTACACCATTTTAACAAAAGAAACCTCATTTCATAATTTTCTTACCAGGATTTCTCAGCCTATTACATAAAAGAGCTAAGAATTTTCATCCCTAAATCAACTAACTTAGCAGCCCCAGGTAGCACTGCAATAAACATATTGCCAGCCACATCAAGAATCTGTGAAAACACTGAGGGCTCTTCATTTTCAGCTGCTTCAATCTCTTCTTTCAGTCGATTAATCTCTTCATTTAACGACTCAAATATCTCTTTGAATCCTTCAGTAAGTGGTTCTTCTAGGACCTATAAAAGTAAAAGAGCCTACTTTGGAAAATTCCCAATTTTTAAGAGTCAGAGTTTTGTATTTAACAATTTCATGAAACACATGTCCATTTCTCTAACATCTTAGAAACTCTTTGATGGGTTTGTCTGACATTTCAGACGACTGGACCTGAATAGTGGGAGTATCCATGATTTACACCTTTGTGACATTTCCTCAGCACCATCTCACTGGAGGTAGGGAGGAATTTTGTTCCAGCACAATGAATGCCCTTCAAGAGGGAATGCAGATTTAATTCTAATTGATTCCCCTTTTCACCAATGTAGCAAGGTCATGCTCATCTAGCAAATAATGGGGACTGCTGACCCTGTATAAAACACAGGTTGTCAAGTTCCAGGTTGGGACAAGGAATATATTTTACTCTAGTTGTATAGGATGGGCCAGGCAGATACAGAAACAAATGGAGCAATTTGAGATCATTCAGTATCATTTCATATTAAGCCAAATCTGATACTTTCATCCAGATGGATCTATTTTGGGTCCTTTTGATGGTTGTGCCAAGAATCCTAAGGGCTGGTGGACTAAGGTCCTAATTAATTGGGGCACAGTGAGACCATCCTATAATCACCACAAACAGCAGCCCAGCACCCTGGGGGATGTCATGTGTACTCTCCAAAGTCTAACGTGACAGAAAGTGCTGGAGTCTTGTAAACTTACAGACTTCAGTAGAATTCACATGTATTTGAAATTTAAGTGAAATATATACCTTTTGTGTTTCCTTCTGGAATCTTGACTGAGCTTAAAATTTTGGCCCTTCCCTAACTGAGGAACTGGCATTGTGCCTCAAGCACTGCCAAGCTTCATCCAGACTCACCTTCAGCTTATGACTCAGCATCTTTCTCAGCTCTCTCATATAGTTTTCCCTTTCCCTCTCCATCTTCTTCTTAAGTTGGGCTATGTTTTCCTGGAAGCTTCTCTCTTGAGCCTCCATCATTTGCTGCTGTTCCTTCTGTTTTTGTCTTAGCAGCTCCTGTTCCTTCTCAGCTGCCTCCTTCTTAGCCTGCTTAGCTGTTCCACAGAGGTTTTACAGAGGGAAGAAAATAACAGTCAGGTGGAAGAAGAACCATGATGGCTAAGTATATGGAGTCAGGAAGAGCTTCTCCCATTGAGAGAACAGACCATAGAGAAGACGGACAAACTCCAGGCAGGACTTCAGAAGGAAGGCATTGAGAGTGGATGAAGGAAGGATGCAGACCCAAGGCTGAAGGGAGAGGAAGCTGGGAACCTTGCACAGGTGAGGTAAATTGGTGTGAAGTGGCCCACTCTCACCAGGGACCTCTAGAATCCTAGCTTTAAGAGACCCCACAACTCCCATAGATGTTTGAGCTGGCAAAGACAGCTGCTTGGAGAGTTGGTAGGGACAGGACTCTGGCCCGTGTGGAGCCTAGATATTTGGCACAGGAATGGCTGCAGTGGAGCACAACAAGGATCTCCCATCCCCCAAGGCTTGCCCTGCCCAAATATGTGGCTTTGGCTTTTGCCAACTATTGGTCCTGGATAGAACTGGGCTATCTTGCCTGTGGGATGGGTCCAGTATGATCTGAGCATCTCCAAGTCTGCTAGCCTCTCTCATGGTCCCCGCCTAACTGCATCCACTTAAAGTGCAACGTCAGATGCCAAACCGAAGCACTTTCCAGCAGCCATCACCATATCTTCTTTGCTGACATACCCTACCTAACCATCATAGAGCTTCAGCAGATGGGCTAACACCAGCGTGCACTCAATGCACCCTCTCCCCAGTGTTTTGCTGGCACACACTCGCTTGCAGCCTCTCACCACCACTTTGCTGGTACACACACCTGTGCAGACCCTGTCAACATGCCACCACCAATGCACGTGCGCAGAACCTGCAGCACGACTGCCCTGCTGCTGCTGCTGCTCACCCATGACCTTGGACCCCGCTGCCACTGCTCTGAGAAAGTACTTTTGCCAGCACCCCTCATTGGCGTGTTGTTGCCAGTTAACCAGGAACAAGTTGCCCCCTGCAGCACAGCAGGTGCTTAACCTAGAGGGACCAGAGAACAAAGCCATGGGCCTGGTCCCAGCCTACTAAGGTTCAAGCCCCCAGCCCAGGAGTGCTGATCTGAGCCTTGGCCCCTTGAAATCATCCAGAAAAAAACAACTTGGTCAAACGAACCCAACTTATACCAGTTGAATCTTCAAGAGAATAAAATAATATAAAAGCCAGAAACCCATAATAGAAACAGAAACTTCAAAGACGAAAGGAGTATCAGCCCACACAGATGAGAAAGAAAAAGTGAAAGAACTCTGGCCTTTTACCTCCAAATGAGTCCACTAGCTCCTCAGCAATAGTTCTTAAACAAACTGAAATGGCTGAAATAGTAGACATGGAATTCAGAATCTGGGTAGCAATGAAGATTATCGATATTCAGGAGACAGTTGAGATACAGTCCAAGGAATTGAAGGAATTCAGTAAAATAACTCAAGAGCTAAAAGTTGAAATAGCTATTTTAAAAAAGAGCCAAAATGATTTGATAGAGCTGAAAAACATGCTACAAGAATTTCATAATACAATCAGAGTATTAAATGTAGAATAGACCAAGATAAAAAAATAATCTCAGAGCTCGAAAATGCATTTTTCAATTCAACTTAATCAAACAAAAATAAAGAATAAAAAAGAATGAACAAAATCTCAGAGAAATATGATATTGATATTATGTAAAGAGACCAAACCTATGACTCATTGGCACCCGTGAAAGAGAGGGAAAGATAGCAAGCAATTTGGAAAACATATTTGAGGATAATGCCCATGAAAATTTCCCCAATCTCACTAGAGAGGTTGACATTCAAGTTCAGGAAATCAGAGAAGCCCTGTGAGATCCTATACAAGATGACCATCCCCAACACATGTGAGATGGTCATCAGATTTTCCAAGGTCAGCGCAATAATAATAATAATAATAATAATAAAAGGCAGCTTGAGAAAAGGGGCAGGTCTTCTACAAAGGGAATCCCATCAAGCTAACAGTGGAACTTTCAGAAGATACTCTACAAGCCAGAAGAGACTGGGGACCTATATTCAGCATTTTTACAGAAAAGAAATTCCAAGGAAGAATTTCATATCCAGCCAAACTAAGGTTCATAAGAAAAAAAAAAAAATCCTTTTTAGACAAGCTAATGCTAAGGGAATTTGTTACCACCAGACCTGCCTTACACAAGCTGCTGAAAAGAGCGTTAAACATGAAAATGAAAGACCATTATCAGCCATGACAAAAGCACACTTCAGTACGTGGATCATTGACACTACAGAACAACAACAAAATCAAGTGTGGATCAAACCCACACAAATCAATATTAACTTTGAATGTAAAAGGGCTAACCACCCCAGTTAAAGGCACAGAGTGGCAAGTTGCATAAAGAAATAAGATCCAACTGTCTTCTATGTTCAAGAGACCAATCTCACATGCAATTACACCAATAGGCTCAAAGAAAAGGGATGAAGAAAAATCTATCAAGCAAATGGAAAACAAAAAGAGCAGAGGTTGCTATTCTTATTTCAGACAAAACAGACTCCAAACCAATAATAACCAAAAAGGATAAAGATGGGCATTACATAATTGTAAAAGTTTCAATTCAACAAGGAGACTTAATTATACTAAATATGTATGCACCCAATATTAGAGAACCCTAGAGTCATAAAACAAGTTCAAAGAGACTTATGAAGAGACTTAGATAACCACACAATAATAGTTGGAGTCTTCAACACTTCACTGACAATATTAGACAGATCATTTAGGCAAAAAACTAACAAAGATATCCAGGACCTAACTTGACACTTGACCAAATGGACCTAACAAACATCTACAAAACACTCCACCCAACAATAACAGAATATACATTCATCTCATCTGCACATGGCACATACTCTAAAATTGACCCCTTGCTCTGCCATAAAGCAATTCTTAACAATTTTTTTTAAAAAAAACCCAAATAATACCAATGCTCTCAGACCACAATGCAGTAAAAATAGAAATCAACACAAAGAATATCTCTCAAAGCCGTATTATTACATGAAAATTAGAAAATATGCTTCTGAATGATTTTGGGGTAAACAGTGAATTTAAGGCAGAAATAAATTATTTGAAATTAATGAAAACAAAGATACAACTACCAGAATCTTTGAGACACAACTACAGCAGTGTTAAGAGGAATGTTAATAGCACTAAACAACTACAGCAGAAAGTTAGAAATATCTCAAATTAACAATCTAACATTACACCTTGAGGAACTAGAAAAACAAAAGTGAACCAAGCACAAAGCTAGCAGAAGACAAGAAATAACCAAAATCAGACTTGAAGTGAACAAAATGGAGACAAGAAAAACCATACAACAGATCAATGAAAACAATGGTTCTCTGTAAGAATAAATAAGATGGATATACTTCTAGTTAGACTAATAAAGAACAAAACAAGAGAAGATCCAAATAAACGCAATAAAAAAATGACAAAAGGGACATTGCTACCAACTCCACAGAAATACAAAAAATCCTCGGAGACGATTATGAACACCACTATGCACACTAACCAACACTAACCAAGAAACCTAGAAGAAATGGATAAATTCCTGGAAACATACAACCTCCCAAAAGTGAACCAGGAAGAAATTGAAACCTGGAATAGTCTAATAACAAGTTCCAAAATTGAGTCAGTATTAAAAAGCCTACCAAGCAGAAAAAGTCCTAGACCAGACAGATTCACAGTCAATTCCACCAGACATAGAAAGAAGAGCTGATACCAATTCTACTAAACTATTCCAAAAAAATGGGGAAGAGAGAATCTTTCCTAATACATTCTGTGAGGCCAGCATCATTCTGATTTTAAAAACCTGGCAGAGACACAACAAAATAAGAAAAATGCAGGACAATATTCCTGATGAACATGGATGAAAAAATCTTCAACAAAATACTAGCAAACCAAATCCAGCAGCACATTAAAAAGCAAATCCACCACTGTCAATTAGGCTTTATTCCTGGAATGCGAGGTTGATTCAGCATATGCTAATCAATAAATTGATTCCTCACACAAACGGGACCCAGAACAAAAATCACACGATCATCTCAGTGGGCACAGAAAAGGCTTTTGATAAAATTCAATATTTCATGTTAAAATATCTCAACAAACTGGGCCTCAAAGGAACATACCTCAAAATAATAAGAGCCATCTATGAAAAACCCACAGCCAACATCATACTGAATGTGAAAAAGCTGGAAACATTTCACTAGAGAACCAAAAAAGGACAAGGATGCCCACTCTCACAATTCCCTATTCAGTGTGGTACTGCAAGTCCTAGTCAGAGAAATCAGGCAAAGGGGAAAAAATAGTTATCCAATAGGAAGAGAGGAAGTCAAACTATCTCTCTTCATAGACAATAGAATTCTGTACTTAGAAGACTCCATACTTTCTGCCCAAAGGCTCCTCCATCTGATAAACTTCAGCAATGTTTCAGGATAAAAAATCAATGTACAAAAATCAGTAGCATTTCTACACACCAATAATGTCCAAGTTGAAAGTCAAACCAAGAACACAATCCTATTCACAATAGCCATTGTGAATAACCAAGAATAAAATACCTAGGTTTAATCAGGCAGGTGAAACATCTCTACAAAGAGAATTCTAAAACACTGCTAAAAGAAATCTGAGACTGTACAAACAAATGGAAAAACATTCCTTGCATATGGATAGGAAGAATCAATGTTGTTAAAATAGTCATACTGCCCAAAGTGATTTACATATTCAATGCTATTCCTATCAAACTAGCCATGACTTTTTTAAAAATAGAATTAGTAAATATTCTAACATCCACATGCAACAACAACAACAAAAAAAAAACTTGAGTAGCCAAGGCACTCATAAGCAAAAAGAACAAAGCCAGAGACATCACACAACCTGACTTTAAACTATATTACAAGACTACAATAACCAAAATAGCATGGTGCTGGTCAAAAAACAAAACAAAACAAAACAGACACATAAACAAATGGAAAAGGTTAAAGAAAGCAGAAATAATACCACACACCTACAACTATCTGATCTTTGGTAAAGCTAACAAAAAAGCAATGGAGAAAGAATGCCCTACTCAATAAATGGTGCTAGGTTAACTGGCTAGCCATGTGCAGAAGATTGAAACTGGACCCCATCTTCTCACTATATACAAAAATCAACTTGACAGGAGTTAAAGATGTAAATGTAAAATTTAAAACTATAAAATCCCCAAAAGAAAACCTAGGAAATGCCATTCTGTACATAGGCACTGGCAAAGATTTCATGATGAAAACTTCAAAAGCCACGGCAACCAAACAAAAAATTAACAAGTGGGACCTAATTCAACTAAAGAGCTCATGCGCAACAAAAGAAACTATCAACAGAGTAAACAGACAACCTACAGAATGGGAGAAAATATCTGCAAACTATGCATCCGACAAAAATCTAATATCCAGAATCTATAAGGAAGTTAAAGAAATTGAGAACAAAGCAAATAACCCCATTAAAAAAACAGGCAACGGACATTAACAGACATTTATCCAAAGAAGACATACACATGGCCAGCAAGCATATGAAAAAATGCTCAACATCATAAATCATTAGAAAAATGCAAATAGAAACCACATGAGATATAATCTCATACCAGTCAGAAGGGCTGTTATTAAAAAGTCAAAAAATAACAGATGCTGGCATGGTTGCCAAGAAAAGGGAATTCTTATACACCACTGGTGGGATTGTAAATTAGTTCAGCTGCTGTGGAAAGCAGTTTGGAGAGTCCTCAAAGAACTTAAAACAGAACTATCATTTGACCCAGCAATCCCATTACTAGGTATATACCCAAAGGAAAATAAATCATTCTACCATAAAGACACATGCATGTGCATGTTCATCGGTACACTATTTGCAATAGCAAAGATGTGGAATCAACCTAAATGTTCATCAGTGGTGAACTGGATAATGAAAATGTTGTACATATATGCCTTAGAATACTACACAGCCATAAAATGAATGAAATCATGTTCTTTGTAGCACTGTGGATGCAACTGGAGGTCAATACCCTAAGAGAATTAATGCAGGACTAGAAAACCAAATACCACATGTTCTTACTTATGAGTGGGAACTAAATATCGAGTACACATGGACACAAAGGGTCCAATAGACACAAGGACCTACTTGAGGGTGGAGGATGGGAAGAGGGTGAAGATGGAAAAACTACCTATTGGGTACTGTGCTCATTACCTGGGTGATGAAATAATCTGTACAACAAATTCCCATGTCACACAATTTACCCATGTAACAAACCTACTTGTGTACCCTCTGGACCTAAAATACAAGTTGGAAAGAAAAAAAAAAAAAAAAAAGGAAGTAACAGTCTTATCTGAGTTCTATTCTCCTGAGTTCAGAGGCCAAACTGACATTGTAAAAAGCACCAAGGTGGGGAATTGAGAATCTCTGAATTCTCCCACTAGCCATGTCAGCAAGAGCATGTTTAAGAATGTTGTGGGAAGAAAGAAACTGAGTGGCTGAATGTTCAATCCCAACTCCCCTTGTTATTTCCAGTTTTAGCAGAGCATGTGTTCCCTATAAGAAGAAAGCTCCTGGTAGAAGGAAAATCCTTTTTTCTGAACATCAAGAGGGTATTACGAGAACCTACCCATTTGCCTGAAAACTGAGCCCTGCCCCTGTACCTGCTATGGCCTTCTCTCCAGCAGTGAGGGCTTTGTCTGACTGCAGGATGGATTCCTCTATAACCACCTGTGACTGCAGGAAGCTCTGGAGGACCTCGTTTGCCTGAAGAATCAAGAAGGAGCAAAGACCTGTCAGGCAGCAGAAATCTTGCCTTGTGATAAGGAAATTACTGTTCAACAAAGCCACAAATCTAACCTTGTAAACCTCACATTATTCTTAAGATTCCACAGCGGTTTCTTTCTTTCCACAGCCACAACAAAACGTCCAAGCTCTTTGTTGAGACATGAAAACCCTGTGCAGCAGCCTCCCTCATGCCTGTCCAGCCTCTTTGCCCAGGGATGCTGCTCACCACCCCCCTCAGGGTGCAGACAACCAGATTTCTATGCAGTTCTACAAACCCACATCCTCCATAGTTTGCATTATTTGCTTTCTTTTTTCTTCTGCCTGAAAGCCTGTCTACCCTTTTCAAATTAGGATAACATCCATTGATACTTTACCTAATAGCTCTTACCTCGCTGGAAGCTTTTCTAGTCTGATTATTAATTAATTAATTAATTAATTAACTTTTGATCACTGTTAAGAATGTTGATAATAGTTCACTAAAAGTAAACAATGTATTCAAATTTAATTTAAAAAGTTAAAACCTTAAAAAGACGGAACAGGTAACTATTTGGTCTATTTACAGGAGTAGCGGTGAATATAATGGAAAATTAAACAGTTGAGAAACTTTTTTTTCTTTTTTGAGACAGTCTCACTCTGTCACCCAAGCATAAGCTCAGTAGTACTATGACTTCAACCTTGAACTCCCAGGCTGAGTGCTGCTGCCTCAGCCTCCTGTGTAGCTGGGACTGCAGATGTGTACTAATTTTATTTTTTATTTTTGTGGAGATGGAAGTCTTGTGATGTTGCTCAGGATAGTTGCAATCTCCTGGTCTTAAGCAATCCTCCTGCCTTGGCCTCCCAAAGCGTTGGGATTATAGGTGTGAGCCACTGTACCTGGCCTGAGAAACTTTAAGAATTTGAAACTTTAAGGGAGTAACATGGTTGTCCAAAATGGGAAATTAACAATCATGGAAAATACAACACTGCATAGACTTAACAGTCACACATGGGAAGGAAAAAAAGGCATAAATACCTCAGCCAACATGTGATTAGTGACTGAAATTTGGGTGGGTGGGGCCCAACACAGAAGGAAGGACCTAGGCATTTTTTGATTGTTATTTTCCTTGTTTCCTTCTTTCAAAAAAAAAAAAAAAATCAGATTAATGGGTGTGTTAGGCCATTCTTGCATTACTGCAAATACCTGAGACTGGGCAATTTATTTTTTTTCTTATTGTGTGATTGTAGCTTATTCATTTTCATTGTGATATAGTATGCCATTATGTGAATACACTAGTTTACTTGTTCTATTGTTGATGGACATTAGGGTAAAATTTCAGTTTGGTGCTATTGTGAATGGTGCTGTTGTGACCATTTCTGTCCCAGTCTTTTAAGTGAATGTATATATCTAGGAATGGATTTGCTGGGTCATTCGGTATTTGTTTTTCAACTTTAGCAATTGAAATCAAACAGTTTTCCAAATTGATGTTCTGATTTATACCTCATTAGCAATGTGTGAGAATTCCAGTTGCTTCATATTCTTGTCAACACTTGGAATTTTGACTTTTTAAATATTAAACAGTCACCTTCTTTTCATTTGACTTTGAAACTCAGATAAGTGAAATTACCTGACCTGTACTAGGCTTGGTTCTGAGAATGCAAAAGACCTTGCAGTTCAGAATTTAGCCCTTTTTTCTCTTTAACTGGTAGGGACTTATGAAGTAAAAAATCATACTCAGATTTGATATACATATCTTTCCAAGGAGAATTACAAGTAGCTATTTATTTTCATCTGATCTGTATTTAAAATAGTTTTTTGGACACTACTGTTGTAGGGTGAGTGAGCAATAATGATTTAGGTTTAGAGTTAGGATCTACATTTAATTTTTTTTTTATTTAACTTTTATTTTAAGTTCAGGGGCAATTTATAAAGCAAAGAAGTTTAATGGGCTCATAGTTTTGCAGGCTTTACAGGAAACATGGTTTCTGGTAAGGCTTCAGGAAGCTTTTACTCCTGGTGGAAGGTGAAGCGGGAGCTTGCATGTCACATGACAAAAGCAGGAGCAAGAGAGACCCAGAGACAGAGTGGTTGAGGGAGGTGCCACACATTTTTAAATGACCAGACCTCCAGAGAACTCACTATCACGCAGACAGCAGCAAGCCATGTAGGATCTGCTGCCATGGTCCAAACACCTCCCACGAGGCCTCACTTCCAGCACTGGGGATTACAATTCAATATGAGATCTGAGTGGGGACAAATAACCCAACTCAATCAATGGGGTTCACATGCAGGTTTGTTACATGACTATATTGCATGATAGTGAGGTTTGGGCTTCAGTCAAAACAGTCACCCAGATAGTGAACATAGTACCCCAAAGATAGTTTTTCAACCCTACTCCCCTCCCTGCCTCCTCTCTCTTGTATTCCCCAGTGTATATTGTTCCCATCTTTATGTACATGTGTATTCATTGTTTAGCTCCCACTTACAAGTGAGAACATGCAGTATTTGGTTTTCTGTTTCTGCATTAATTCACTTAATATAATGGCCTCCAGATGCAACCATTTTTCTGCAAAGGACATGATTTCATTCTTTTTATGGCTGTATAGTGTCTCAAGGTGTATATGCACCGCATTGTTAAAATCCAATCCACTGTTGATGAGCACATAGGTTGATTCTGTGTCTTTGCTATTGTGAATAGTGCTGTGATAAAATATGAGTGCAGGTGTCTTTTTGATAGAATGTTTTATTTTCCTTTGGGCGTATACCCAGTAATGGGATTGCTGAGTTGAATAATAATAATAATAGTAATAATAATTGTATTTTTAGTTCTTTAAGAAATCTCCAAACTGCTTCCCACAGGGGAATTTACAATTTACAATCCCACCAGCAGTGTATAAGCACTCCCTTTTCTCTACAACCTCACCAGTATCTGCTATTTTTTCCTTTTTTAATAATATAGGCTAATTTCTAATTTTGTTTTATAAGTTTTTTGAAGTTGATTGATAAATAAAAATCATGTTTAAGAGGAACAGCACAATATTTTGATATATGTATACATTATGAAATGGTTACTATTATCAAGCTAATATATTTGCACCTCATGTAGCTATCTATTTTTGTACGTGTGTGGTGGGAACACAAGGGACCTACTCTCTTAGCAAATTTCTAGTATACAGTACATTGTTTTAACTATAGTCACCGGGCTATACACTAGGCATCCAGAACTTATTCATCTTATAACTGAATGTTTGTACCTACTGCCCACTATCTCCTCTTTCCTCCCACCCCTCTCCCCCTGGTAACCACCCATTCTACTGTGACTTTCACTAATTTTTTTTTTTTTTTTTTTTTTTAGATGGAGTCTCGCTCTGTCGCCAAGCTGAAGTGCAGTGGCGCGATCTCAGTTCACTGCAACCTCCGCCTCCCAGGTTCAAGTGATTCTCCTGCCTCAGCCTCCTGAGTAGCTGGGACTACAGGCACGCACCACCATGCCAGGCCAATTTTTTTATTTTTAGTAGAGACAGGGTTTCACCATGTTGGCCTGGATGGACTTAATCTCCTGACCTTGTGATCCACCTGCCTCAGTCTCCCAAAGTGCTGGGATTAGAGGCCTGAGCCACTGTGCCCAGCCAACTTTCACTCTTTTTAAATAATTTCACATGAAGGTGCGTTATGCAGTATTTGTCTTTCTAAGAATGGCTGATTTCACTAAGCATAATGTCCTCCAGGTTCATTCATGTTGTCGCCAGTGGCAAAATTTCTCTTTTTAAGGCTGAATAATACCTTATTTTATATATCTATATTTACATATAGATATGCATATATATCACATTTTCTTCACTTGCTCATTTGTGGATGGACACAGGTTGTTTTCATGTCTTGGCTATTGTGAATTATGCTGCAATGAACATGGGAGTGAAAATATCTCTTTGAGATAGTGACTTTAGTTCCCTCCGAAATACAACCAGAAGTCCACCAATAGCTGTTAAACTAATAAATTCAGTAAAGTTGGAGGATACAAAATTAACATACAAATTCAGCTGCATTTCTATGCACTAAGAACAAACTATATGAAAAAATAAGAAAACAATCACATTTATAATAGCATCAAAATAATAAAATGCTTAGGAATAAATGTAACCAAAGAGGTGAAAGATCTGTACACTGAAAATCATAAAATGCTGATGAAATTAACTGAAGATGACATAAAGTAAATGGAGAGATATTCCATGTACATTGATTGGAAAAATTAATATTGTTAAAATGTTCATACTATCTAAAAAATCTACAGATTTACACAATATCTATCAAAATTCCAATGCTGTTTTTTCACAGCAGTAAGAAAACCAATTATAAAATTCACATGGAGCCATAAAAGACCCCAAATAGCCAAAGCAAGAAAAACAGAGCCAAAGGCATCATACTATCTGACTTCAAAATCTACTACAAAGGTATCAAGTCGCACAATGCTGGCATAAAAACAGACATCTAACTCCATGGAACAGAATAGAGAGCCAGGAAACAAACCCACATGTTTACAGGCAAAGACTTTAAAAAAACATGTGCCAAGAGTACACCAAGAGAAAAAGGTAGTATCTTTAATAAATGGTGGAATGGTGGTAGGAAAACGGAACCCTCGTACTACACACAAATGTCAACTAAAAATTCGTTAAAGATTTAAACATAAGATCAGAGACTGTAAAACTCTTAAGAGAAAACCTGGGAAATACTCCTAGACACTGGTCTTGGCAATGATATTTTTGAATTTCACACCAATAGCACAGGCAACGAGTGCTATAAGAAACTAGCGGGGCTACATCAAACTAAGTTACCACTCAATAGAAAAAAGAAAGGAAAAAAGAAAAAACATACAGAATAGAACATATTTGCAAACCATATATCTGATAAGTGCTTAATATCCAAAATATATACGGAGCTCATATAACTCAATAGCAACACAACAAAATGAAATAGAACAAAACTGATTTTAAAAAAATGAGCAAAAGACCTGAACAGACATCCCTCAAAAGAAGACACTTAAATGACCATCGAGTATGTGAAAGCATGTTCTGCATCACTAAACTTCAGAGAAATGCAAATGAAAACCATAATGAGATATCACCTCACACAGAATGATGATTACCAAAAAGTCAAAAGATAACAAGCGTTGGCAAGGATATAGAGAAAAGGGAACGCTTAGACACCATGGGAAGGAACATGAATTAGTATAGTCATCATAGAACACAGGACAGTTTCCTCAAAAAGAAAAATCATGAGTTTCCAATGGCTTTTAAGTACATAGATCAGCCCATCAGCTCCACCACTTGCTGACTGTGTCATCTTAGGAACTTTATTAGCCTCTTCGTGCGTTAACATTTCTCAATTGCCTATGCGGAAGATAGTAGTAACTAATTTACATTATTCTGAGAATGAAATTGATAATCCAACAGAATCACCTAAAACAATATCTGATACACAAAATGAATGCTCAATGTCTATGAACCTTTCTGTTGATCATCACCATCATCATCATCACTATCAATGTATACCAGTATGATAAGCATAAACACTCCATATCCAATTGAGTATTAATTTGTCCATCTTGTGTAAGACCATAAACTTCTGAAAACAAGGCTTTTCCTTTCATAGTGTATTTTCTGTATTTAGCGCAAAAACTATCACATTATTTGATAAATAAAAGAAATGGTTTGTTTCACCTGGACTTCTGATTCTAAATCCTCTTTGGGAAAAAAATAGTTCTGTTTTAGTAAGAGTAGCTAAATAATTGTGGATTTTAAGATTTAAAACATCAAGCTATTACCGTGCTTCACTTTTTGTCCATAAATGGTGCTCTGTTCTTAGATTTTCAGAAGGGGCAACAAGGACCCTCTGACTATCCTCTGTCATCCATTCCCTTCTGCCCTTATTCCTCACCTTAATTCCTTTTCTGGGCAGTAGTGTATAGTCCTGTTCAATCTTCTTTTTTGCTTCTAAGTAGATATTGTGCCCTCCAGGAACAAAGAAAGTTCCTCTTGAAATACTTTCCATCAAGAGCTCTGAAAGCCGCTTAAGCTCAGCCTGGCAATATTTGGCAGATGCCTCTTCATTCTGCAGCACAAAGTCTTCCTTCTTTTTCTCCATGGTGTCCTGCCAGAAAAGTGTAGGGGAAAAAACAGTAGAAAGAAGCTGTTAGAAGGGAAGGTCCAACTGTGATCCTCTTGGAAGAAGTATTCTGATGGCCTCAGAGCGGACTGAGATATGGTGTAGACCAAGAGTAGAAGACTTGTTTTAATTCCAGTTTGAATCAGTTCTCTGCAGGGCCTGTGGAAAGTTCATGAACTCTATCTTTCCTTCAGCAAAAGATGATCAACGGTGATCTAACTATGAAAAATAAGCAAGGGACAATTCAGTTGTGGCAGTAGTAGTGTCCTTAGAGAGCATGGATTGCTATGGATAAAATGTGTACACAGAAAATCAACCCTTCTGGTATAATCACATCCCAGTAATGACTTGATTGTACTCTGAACAGAGCTTGGAACTCTTTTGAAATTCTTCCAAAAGGGATCTTAACATGTGAAGATATGGGAACATTATTATTTTTTGCTTACACTTGTAAGCTATGATTGCATCTGGGTTTTCTCAGTATGTACTAAGAGATTTCTGTCACTTGTGGACTGGTAATAGACAGACTGAAAGAAGGTTATTCAATAACAGTGCCAACGGCAGATTTAAGATATCTCCCAGGATTTCCCCTCCGAAGTTTCCACACTCTCCATAGTCCCTGGGCTTATTAATACGATGGAGTGTACTCCAGTGTTTAGGTAACATTATATGATATCTGTTGACTTTTAGAAATGGAGAGTATTCAAGTAGTACTGAGTATACTCAAGAAAGTATGTAAGAATTACCATATCACATGAGCTCTTTGAAAGCAGAGCTTTTTTGTTTACCTTGAGGCAGAAGAGGAAGCCAGAGAGATTAGAAACAAGAGAAACATTTGATGCATCATTGCTGACTTGAAGATGGAGAGAGGTTCCCCTGAGCATACAGGTAAGAAGTAAGCTCAATCAACACCTTGTTTTCAGCTTGTGATACACTAAGGGGAGCACACAGAAGCCCTAAAAAGAACTTCTGACTTACAGAGCTGTGAGCTTACGCATTTTTTCACACTCAGAGTCAGGCAAGTGCTTCTTTATTTTACCTTTTTAGAAAATAAAAAAACAAAAATTGTATATGCATAATGCTTACATCATGTTATTTTGAAATGTAACATGAAATGTAACATAATCTGTACAAGTTAAGAATTCTGTTTAACTTGTATAGATTATGAAATTACTAAAGCTAAGTAACATATATATTAGCTCCAATATTTGTCATTCTAAATTCTACTCTCTTAGTAATTTTCAAGAATGCAATACAGTGTTATTAACTGTAGTTAGTATGTTGTATAAATGTGTTGTTAAATGGGCTACAATCATAATTTCTTATAGATGATAGAAAATTAATAAATTTCCCATAATTTAGAAAAATCAAAAACTGTAGCCCATTAAATTCAGTCACATAAAATAATCCAAGCTCCCTTTACCATGAGAAAGAGATGAACCATGGCATTAAAAAGGTGGGCTATAAGTATCATTCCAGAAAGGCAGGAATCAAGAAAAAAAAAATGCGAAGATTACCACAAGCTTCTTCTGAAATTCCTGGTTTTTATCCTTGAAGGAGTGCTCCATGAAGACTGCAATGGCTTCCCTCTCACAGGCCGTGTGCACGTCCAGCAGCTCCTGGAGCGTGTCTGTGGGGAATTTCACTTGCTGGGCCATCCGCTGGCTGTAGTGGTCAGCTGCCCTCTGCACGGCCGCTGAGTTCTCACGCTGGGCCAGAGCTGCCATTGCATTCTCCAGACAAGGAACCGCTCCACTGTTGATGGCATCCAGGTAGGTCTCCACCAGCATCCCCAGCCCTGAATGATTTAGAAAATTTAGGGAATGGATAGAAAGTTTTCACTCATTGTTTTACAAGTGGTATGTATCATCATTCTAAAAATCACAAAAAATTCCATTTAACATGAATTTTCCCTCCTTCTCCTTCTTTTAATTCTACTATTACTACTACTACTACTTTTTACGAAGCCACTTTCTTACAATAACGTCCCTGTTGTTCCTATTTATTCTTTCTATTTTGTTCTCCAACTCATCACATTACAAAGTTAATTACTAATCACAAACAATATGGAGCAAGGGTTTGTTGAAAAAGAATACTTTTCTGCTTAAGTAAAAATTTAAAAACATTTATTCAGCAAAGTAAATTATATCATTTGTGGATCACGATTCTGAATGTAGACGCAGGTGCCTTTATAAAAACACTTAAGACAGTGCCAGAACATTAAACCCTGTGAGAAGCTCTTTTCTGTACAGAGCACTAAAAGACTGCACAGGTAACATGTTCATGAAGCCAGCTTTGTTTACAAGATTATGCTGAATTTTGTATCTCAAAATCTCATTAGGCTTGCAGGAAACTCATGACATGCTACTTACTTTCTGTTTTGTGTAAATTCACAACACATCTTTTATACCCTCACTGAGAAAAATACCCTTCACTTATCCCACACCTCATAACACAGATGTTATCTCCTTACCAGCTGTTCGTGCTTATAAGCTTAGTTTACTAGTTTTTGAGATACAGTAGGCCTCAATAAACACCCATATAGGGAAATAGACTCACGGTTTCCAGTGACAAGGATTCCCTCCCTCAGGGTCTTGGTCTTTGCATGGGTGAGGATATAAGAACAGAAGTTTTCTGATTGCACCTGAAAATTACTATCCAGTTGGTCTTCTGGTACTTCTTCAACATGGAGTAAGAGTTTTTTGTCATTTGTTGGCCGGTCAAAGACAAAGCACTTCCGTTTTGGAAAGAAATGCCTGATCCACTCCCTGGGCTTGTTAGAATTTTGGATTTGGGGATTCTTGCCTGCAGAATTAGTGAAAAAAGTGAGTACTGAAGAACAGCTTTTAAGCGAGCCTGAAGATTTTCATTTCCAAAGTGCCTTGCATCAACCACTACAGTCTCTCGTGTCTGTGAATCTATGCAACAAAACCTCTCATGCAACCAAACTTATACTAATCTACTTAAGGTATGAAAAGTCAATTTCTGAACAAAGCAAAGTCGGAAAGTTACTTCTGGAAAGGAAGGGAAGGCATCCACCTCAAGTGAAGGAATTTATGGTTGATTTCCTCAGCTGCTGTATGATATCTGGTAGACTGATGATTTTTTAAATGTTTGCTGAATTATGATTAACTAAAATATGATAAGAAGTACTTTCTTTAAAAATTGTATATATTTAAGGTGTTATAACATGAAGTTTCGATGTGCGTGTACATAGTGAAATTACTACTAAGTGAGCAAATTATATATCCATTACCTTCTATACTTTTCATCCCTTTCTTTTTGTGGTAAGAGTACCTAAAATCTAATCTCTGTAAATTTTAAATGTAAAATACAATATCGTTAAGGATAGTTCTCCTGCAGTATATTAGATCCCTAGACTTTCCCACCCTATATAACTTCAAGTTTGTACCCTTCACCCACATGTCCTCATTTCCTTCCTCACCGTGCCCTGGTAACCACTGTTCTACTCTCTGTTTCTATGTATTTGATGTTTTAAAATAGAATCCATATAGAAAAGAGGTCCTGTCATATTTTTCTTCCTGTTTCTGGCTAATATTACACAGCATCATGGACTTTCTCAATCTTACTGTCCCCGCGTCAGGAATGAAATGTAGGGCTTAAAAATAAAGTAATGCTAGAAACAAGGACAAGATGCGGCTGGGGAAAATGTCGGAAAGAGACAGAAAATACTCAGGTCAGATTATATTAGGTCTAACATTGTCTTGCAGAGGGATTCTGTGGCATGTATCAGTTATTCAAAACAAATATTTGTTGAAAGGATGAACAAATGAACAAACATGGATATTGATTGTAGGTGCCAGCAGGTATCCACTCTGCTAAATATAATCTGTTTAACAAACGTATAATAGATTGACAACATATCATATGAGACTGTAGAATGAAGTAGGAGATGTTATGAAAACAATAAAATAAAGGGTTTGACAGTCCTATTGGAAGCACATGTCAGTGTATTTTTTTTTTTAAATTTCCTGAATCATTAACTGTATGAATCTCCTTTTTCTCTAAAGGATATAACTATCCAGGCTAATAAAATAGACCGAGTGAAATATATTTCCAAAATTTGATCATTTGACTTCCTGTGATTCTGCGTTTACGAGCTTCCAAACTTATTAGGTAATTTTCTCCAAATAGAATAGGAGAAGAACTTGAAGTTAACAAGTAACACAAATATATGAGTCTTAGGATATGACAATATTAATTGTAATCCTCAATATATTTTTCATAGTACTTATTGGTCTAAAATCATTTGATAGAACTTTGAGTTTTAAATTTCCTCAATGAATTTGAACCTCAGCCTCTGGGAAATTTCAAGTAAAAATAACCACAAAAATCATAATCACTTGTCAATCACCAACCACCACGAGCAAGGGCCTCAGTCAGGTACAATATAAAAATTTGTGTCAAGTGTTGAAGAGCAGGTCCTAGTTGAGCCCACCCACTACTGAACCTTCTCCCATCTAGGCTATGCTCTGATACCTGGAATCAGCTTCAAGGCATTCTCCAGGTATTCATCTTCTGTGATGGGGTGTCCATCTAACTTCAGCTCCAGGGTAAAATCCCGAACAGTCCAAATAAAGTCTGGAAAGAAACTCACAAACTCGCTGGAGTCATCAGGTTTGGGGCAGGATTTTGCCCTGATTAGCTCTGTTAGTTCAGTCACATAGCTGGGATCTCAGCTAAGGAAGGAGTCTGTCTCTTATACACATCTAGATGTGTATAAGAGACAGCCACTACAGTCTCTCGTGTCTGTGAATCTATGCAACAAAACCTCTCATGCAACCAAACTTATACTAATCTACTTAAGGTATGAAAAGTCAATTTCTGAACAAAGCAAAGTCGGAAAGTTACTTCCGGAAAGGAAGGGAAGGCATCCACCTCAAGTGAAGGAATTTATGGTTGATTTCCTCAGCTGCTGTATGATATCTGGTAGACTGATGATTTTTTAAATGTTTGCTGAATTATGATTAACTAAAATATGATAAGAAGTACTTTCTTTAAAAATTGTATATATTTAAGGTGTTATAACATGAAGTTTCGATGTGCGTGTACATAGTGAAATTACTACTAAGTGAGCAAATTATATATCCATTACCTTCTATACTTTTCATCCCTTTCTTTTTGTGGTAAGAGTACCTAAAATCTAATCTCTGTAAATTTTAAATGTAAAATACAATATCGTTAAGGATAGTTCTCCTGCAGTATATTAGATCCCTAGACTTTCCCACCCTATATAACTTCAAGTTTGTACCCTTCACCCACATGTCCTCATTTCCTTCCTCACCGTGCCCTGGTAACCACTGTTCTACTCTCTGTTTCTATGTATTTGATGTTTTAAAATAGAATCCATATAGAAAAGAGGTCCTGTCATATTTTTCTTCCTGTTTCTGGCTAATATTACACAGCATCATGGACTTTCTCAATCTTACTGTCCCCGCGTCAGGAATGAAATGTAGGGCTTAAAAATAAAGTAATGCTAGAAACAAGGACAAGATGCGGCTGGGGAAAATGTCGGAAAGAGACAGAAAATACTCAGGTCAGATTATATTAGGTCTAACATTGTCTTGCAGAGGGATTCTGTGGCATGTATCAGTTATTCAAAACAAATATTTGTTGAAAGGATGAACAAATGAACAAACATGGATATTGATTGTAGGTGCCAGCAGGTATCCACTCTGCTAAATATAATCTGTTTAACAAACGTATAATAGATTGACAACATATCATATGAGACTGTAGAATGAAGTAGGAGATGTTATGAAAACAATAAAATAAAGGGTTTGACAGTCCTATTGGAAGCACATGTCAGTGTATTTTTTTTTTTAAATTTCCTGAATCATTAACTGTATGAATCTCCTTTTTCTCTAAAGGATATAACTATCCAGGCTAATAAAATAGACCGAGTGAAATATATTTCCAAAATTTGATCATTTGACTTCCTGTGATTCTGCGTTTACGAGCTTCCAAACTTATTAGGTAATTTTCTCCAAATAGAATAGGAGAAGAACTTGAAGTTAACAAGTAACACAAATATATGAGTCTTAGGATATGACAATATTAATTGTAATCCTCAATATATTTTTCATAGTACTTATTGGTCTAAAATCATTTGATAGAACTTTGAGTTTTAAATTTCCTCAATGAATTTGAACCTCAGCCTCTGGGAAATTTCAAGTAAAAATAACCACAAAAATCATAATCACTTGTCAATCACCAACCACCACGAGCAAGGGCCTCAGTCAGGTACAATATAAAAATTTGTGTCAAGTGTTGAAGAGCAGGTCCTAGTTGAGCCCACCCACTACTGAACCTTCTCCCATCTAGGCTATGCTCTGATACCTGGAATCAGCTTCAAGGCATTCTCCAGGTATTCATCTTCTGTGATGGGGTGTCCATCTAACTTCAGCTCCAGGGTAAAATCCCGAACAGTCCAAATAAAGTCTGGAAAGAAACTCACAAACTCGCTGGAGTCATCAGGTTTGGGGCAGGATTTTGCCCTGATTAGCTCTGTTAGTTCAGTCACATAGCTGGGATCTCAGCTAAGGAAGGAGTAGCACCCTATACCATCATTTCCACATCTCACTTAGAAACAAGTTTTATACACGTTCCCTTTTGCACTGTGTCTTTTCTTACTCAACCAGGACAACTGAGTCACAGCAAAGAAGACACAGTATCAGTTTCCATTCCCCTAAACTCCATAAAACCTGCTCTTCACTTCCCGGAAGGATACTGCAGCTGCTCCAGGGCCTGGTGGTTGATGGTGTTCATGCTGTTGTAGACAAAGCTGCTGCTTAGAAGCACAGCCAGGGCAAAGATCCAAGAGTCATTCTTAGGGTCACTCTAGTGTTAAAGAAATAGAAAAAAGGAAGCCACAGTTTAGATACATCTCAAGGTCAACTATTTGTATCCACGTAACCAAAACTTAAGTCATTCCAGTTTTCCCAAAATGCTGTGTCTAAAGGAAACACAAATGTAAGCTTTATATGCTTGTCAGCATGATTTGGTGAATTTAAATAAATCAGCTATAGAAAAAGCAACATAAGCATCTCTATTTTCCCTAAAAATGTTGTTAATGTATAATAGCCAATCACATGATAAGTAAATATACTTCTTCCTTTATGCTTTATCAATTGTGCTGTAACCATTATAAGGAGAACATCTTGGTTCGAAGTCACCTGAACGATGCTCTCCACTTTTTGTATGCAATAAATTTAAATTTTTCCAAACTCGATCTGATATTATTTGTGATACTTGAAAGCACATTACTGTTAGGACTTAAGAGTCTCCTTTTAATTTATTCACTTATTAATTCATTCATTTGGTTGTCCATTCACAATTTCAGCTGTAGTATATATAACGGAATAGTAAGGCACGTAATATGAATTTTGAAGATCATGTTAAAGTCAAACTGTATTTTTGCCATTTATATTGATCTTCTCAGGGTGTCACTTTCTTTACATATTAAAAGTAGCAATTGACATGGTCAATGTGTAAAATATTTGATGCAGTGCCTAAAGCATAGTAAGTATGAAGTCATTA